TACTATTTTCATGGCAGAAGTGGGGAAGAGGAATCCTTAGGAGTAGTCATCCTCAAAATGCACTATCTCTAAGGCTCTCCCTTTTGTGAATTTTTTTCCTGCAGTGCATACACCTCACCCCTTTCCTAAATCCTTATTTAAGAAAAAGTGTGTTATTATTATCCTCCATTCATGCCTGAGAAACTTGAGGTTCTCTGTAAGGTTAAGACACTTGTGGAAGGTTATGAAGCCAGGATGCAATGGAGCCAAGATTTGACCTCAACTCATTCTATTCTAAACTGTGATCTTAATCACTGTACACCTTAGACTTCAAAGACAGATAGGGGAAATTCAAGAATTGTAGCCAGACACCATTTATAAATTAAAAGTATGTCTACATTCTTAAACAAGAGAACTGCAATTAATGCTTTCCTCCAGCAAGAGGCAGTCTTCTCTGGAATTTGAACTAAAACCATAGGTTGAGTTTCATTCATCATAAACCAGAAATGTACTATGTGATCCCAGATATGCGGAGATAAAGTCACATAAAGGAACATGAAGAGCTAAGGAAAACCCCTTGCAGAACCCTGAGGGAGTGAACACATTTGTTACATTGTCCTCGTCCCAGCTTCCTTTGGCAGCCACCTGCCTCCAGCTGGACTCCAGGGCTGTGTCTCTGCCCAGGAACCAGACACAAAGGTGTTACCCAGTGAAGTAATTTCTATTGATCCTAAAGACCTGCTAGAGAACGTGAGGAGAATTGTGCAGATTACATTTATAAAATAATACTCCCAGATGAAGCAAAGGGAAATTGATTCCTAAGAAAATGCAGATGGTAAGAATGCAAATAAATGTTCATTATGAAGACGCTTCCCCCTACAGTCTTTGGGTATCCGTTCCCAAAACTGCACTGGGGCATAGTATCTTATCAAAAAGCTTGTGCAAACATTTCTATACAAGCCCTTTAACAACTAGTGGTTTCCCCAAAACTTTGAGGTCCTGAAAAATCTAATTATTGCTGGTAACTTTAAAAGATCACAGTAATTTATTTTTGTCAAATGTGACTAAAGATTAATGGATACAATCAGGAATAATTTGGTAAAAACATATCAAATGCAGAGAAAGCAAAATTTGTTGTTAAGTGAAGCATCAAATATAATAAAAGAGCAGATTCCATGAATGAACAGCAACAATGCACAATTCATTAACCAAATGCCCATGATTATTTCACACTTCAGGGGGCTACTGATATGATCAGAAATTGTAGTAAAAGGATAAATATAGATTACCTTCAGCATCTCTTTGTACATTTTAATTATAAAACACTACCCCTGAGGGCTACCACCAGGAAAGATACAGACTAAGGTTTGTCTACCCCTTTTATAAATCACAATTCCATATATATATAAACACTAGTCAATTATATTAAGACAGCAATCAATATGCCAAGATATATTAAAAGTATAACATTTTCTTAGCTGCTACTAACTACAAAAATTAAAAACCTGAACAGTATTCAGGCTTTGGAAACTGCTATCTATTCAAAATCATCATAATCACTGTCATCACCCACAAACATCTGCTAATGCACTAGCAAACAAAAGTCCTGCTCACTAGTGAATAACCCTCACTTCCCAAAGAAAAAAACTATTTGTTAAACAACTATCAGTAAACCGTAAGCTCCTGGAGGTCAGGGCCACATCTTACTAGTTTTTGCATTCCCAGAACTGGTGTAGAACTTGACTCCTAAATAGTACTGTTTTAAATAGCAAGGAAAAAAATGAAAACAACCTAAAGAATCATTAATAAGAATATCCATTCACTGAATTTTTCCATCATATTTATTAAGTGAAAACAAGAGCTGAAATTTTGCCATTACAAAATGAATATGATGTCCAGGTATAGATTGATTAAATGTTCTGTTTTTGAAAGAAATACCCTGCAAAAGAGTAACTGTAATTTGATCTTGTCTATATTTTGAAAAAGATATAAATACAGAAAGTAGACAAAAGCAAGCGTACATAAGACTTTCCAAATGGAGAAAAGAATTAAAAGGCACATGAGTGATTGCCTTAGTATTGTACTTGCAGGCCCGTGACCACCTTAACTACTCCAGGCTTTTCTCTATCAGCTTTGACTCTACATTTAAACCATTTCCTCTTCTTTCATAGAATCTTGTCTCATTTTCTTCTTTTAACATTGATACCAGGCAATTCTCAATTCTAGATTCCACCCTCCTGCTGCTCATCTCTGCCTCTACTGGACATGCATGTGCACCCACACGGGCACACACACACAGAGTGTGTCCCACGTGGAGAATAAATGTACATTTTCTAACTAAAGAAAGCCCTGTGCTCTACCACATTCTCCATAAGGTGGCTGTAAACCTCATCTATAGGAAGCCCCTTCCTCTCACCCATTAAGTGAAGCATCTCGCTGTGTCTGCGTTTAAGGATCACGCTTCATCCTCACACAAGCTCCCCTTTTTACATCTTAGAATCTTTACCTTTTGGTTCTATCTCTGAGAAACAAGTCTCTTATCTTCTTGACAGAATCAAGATACATCTCCAATATCCTTTCCTTGTATTTTCACAAGACCTTGGCCCACGTTTGCCTTCTATTACTTGCATATTAAGGTTCTCTGCGTGCACTGGCTTTCTCCTCTGAGTCTACAAATTATGGAAAGAAGAAAGGGAGGAAGGGAGGAAGGAAAGAAGGAAGAAAAGGAGAGAGAGAGAGAAGAAATAAAGAAGGAAAAGAAAAAAAATCCTTGGCTATACTGCTTCCCTTCTTTATAACTACTACGGCTACTACAAGCTACTCCTTTCCATTTTATTTGTCTCCAAATCTCTTGAAAGTCCTTGCCTGTTCCTTCCGTAGAACCCATGCACCCCTCACTATCAAACCCGAGGTACTTCAGGATCTCAAAGAGGACTATTCAATAAAGCTTAAGCGCCGGCTGGCAAGCCAGACCCAGCCCTGCCTTTCCACTCCTCTTTCTTGTTCTCCCCTGTGGTCTCAGTGTTCCGAGTTAAAACGTGTGCTATCTCCCACATACGGACCCCACCTGCTCCCCTGGCGTGTTGCTGTCTTTGCTTGCCTATTAAAGTTGTACCTACGCCGAGCTGCAGATTTTCCACTCCTGACTATTCTGTGTAGCTATGACTGCCGTCACCTTTGTAAACCCATGATGTCTCCGAGACTTTCAAACAGCACACATTCTCTAGCAGGTAATCTGGTCTATGCAAACAAGCAGCCTGGAATGGTCAGCATCCTAAAGGTGCCGACTCGATAATCACCTTTGTATTCTCGTGCACTGCCTTGGATGTTACCATGCATACAGTAGGCACTCAGTGAATATTTTCAGAATTGAAATAAAAAGAATGAGCACATATTTCAGTACAGAGCATGAAAGTAACTGGAGATACCAAAAAATATACTTTACTGAATCCTATCAGGGAAATGATCCTCCTTGCTAGAGAAAATTATCCCCTAGTAAATTCTAATTCCTAGGAGGCTTATTGACTTCTCATTATGCTGTGAATATGTCCCCTTTCTCACTCTCTTTCCAAGGTATCTAAGGAAAAAAGACGAATTCAATTCCCTTGAGAATACTATAACTGTTCTTCCCACATGTTTTAGCATGTTCTAAAACAATCTGGCTTCAATTATATTCCATGATTGGAGACAGAAATTTATATGAAAACTGGGGTCAGTGTGGCAACAGAGGAAACTGATGCCCCTACATGTTGAATTTACCATTATTTACAGTTGCCAAAAAAGACTTGGGCCATGCTGTCTACATGGACCAAAACCTGAATCCTGTGAAATTACAGGAACCTATTGTACTTTCTGTTTCTGGGTGCTTAGATCTCGTTTCGTTTCCATAAGAGTAAATTCTACCACGTGTGTAAGGTAACTAAGTCTAAAGTGGCTATGGTAGTGAGTTAATTAATCTGAGACAAATTATTTCTTGTAATAATTACCAATTAGTATGAAAATATAATAAATATTGAACTCTATATAGAAACCAAAATAATCCAGAGTCAAAACCCTTTCAGCAGTACCCAGCCCAATTTGATACATCGGAGGATACCACAGAGGATTATTTCTACAAGACAGTTGGCTGTAAGAGTTATTTATTTTCATGTTAATAACGGCAGCTAAAATAGTATCCACAATTTATTTAGCTTATCTTTAGTGTGACAAGCACTATGCTAAGTCTCTTCATGATTAGCACATTTTAACTTCATAACAATCATTCAAAGAAGGTATTTTTTCCCTCAGTTGAGTGATGAGGGGCCTTAGAGAGATTAACATATATACACACACATGCACACACACACGCACACATGCACACACACACACATACACACACAGGCAAGGAAACTGACCCAGGGTATGTATGCCCACGATTCTCTAACTCTCAGCCCCACTCTAACACTCACACACAAAAAACATACTGTTTTATTCACGTAAGAGCACTGGCGCTCTATTCTAAGCTTTCCTTCTTTACATGTTTCCATTCATAAGGAATTTCTCGTCACGCCTTCCCTAAAGCTGGCCACGAGTAGACAGGGTGACCGAGACAGAAACAAAACCCTCTTCCATTATTTATTTACATAAACTGTCCTTTCCCAAACCACAGCTCACATTTTACCAAAAGGGATGACTTTGGGAGTCACGTGAACAAGAAGAATTATTTTAAAAGATTATTTCATTGTAAGAGGTCTTTTCTACCCTTGATTGATATGATTGTGATTTGGGGTGTATGTACTTTACCATGTATTAGAAAAAGTTTAGCAGAACATCAAAGCGATGAATTTTCAGGAATACAAAGTTTCCCACTAAAATAAATACAAATTTTCAAATTGTGCAAGTGCCTGTATTTTAAAAATTGTGAAGGTGCTTCATCAAGAGTAGAAAATTAGGGGACAGGAACAGAGTGCGACTTCTCTGGTGTAGAGTGCACATCATGTATGTATGTCGGGGAGGGAAGATGAACCCCCCTCAGGGCTTACCTCTGGTGACAGCATCCAGCGCACAGCCACTTCCTGTTGCTCCTCCTCCAATAACAAGGATATCGAATTCAGATGTGTTTTGCAAACTCATTATCTGAGCTTCTCTGGAAGGAGGTTCTCTGTTAACAGGTTCTGAAACGCACTCTGCTGCTTCGACATAGGCCAGGTTCACCTGATATATAAGCAAATAGTTTTCAGCTATTCATCTGAAATGCCAATTTAATAAATGTTACAGTATACTAAAAGAAGAGATTTGTAATGGATATAAAGAATTCCAGAGCAAGACTACATAGTCCATGGCCCACATGGAGCTACAGTATCAACTGCCTTAGGGGAAACAAAATCCTTAAAATTCTATGTGTATTTCTTTTTTCTTTTCTTTCTTTTTTTTTTATTGTTGAGGATTCTTAGAGGGTACAAGAAACCAGATTACACTGCATTTGTTAGGTAAAGTCCCTCTTACAACTGTGCCTTGCCCCCAAAAGGTGTGTCACACACTGAGACCCCACATCCCTCCCTCCTTCCCTCTCTCTCTGCTCTCCCCTTCCCCTAACCCCCACGGTGTCATTAACTGTCATCAATTGTCCTCATATCAAAATTGAATACAAAGGATTCATGCTTCCCCATTCTTATGATGCTTTACTAAGAATAATGTGTTCCATTTCCACCCAGGTTAATACAAAGGCTGTAAACTCTCCTTTTTAATAGCTGAATAGTATTCCATAGTATACATGTACCACAGCTTGTTAATCCATTCCTAGGTTGGGGGGCATTTAGGCTGTTTCCAAATTTTGGCGATTGCAAATTGAGCTGTAATAAACAGTGTCTAGGTGTATTTCTTTGCATGAATCATTACTATTTAGCCACAGAACACCTGGTTTCAGATTCAATATCTCAGCTGTTTATTTTTCTTTCATAGACAGCTAAGATCAATTATTCCAAAACTATACAGCAATTCCCAAAGACGTACTTTAAGACAATTTATAGGGGAACATAAGGAAATGTTTTACCCAGTAGCAGCTATTCATTCACATAATATTTTAAAGCAGTGGTTCTCAACCTTCCTAATGCCATGGCCCTTTAATACAATCCCTGTGGGTCGCAACCCACAGGTTGAGAACGGCTGTTTTAAAGTGCTAAAGGAAAAGGAAAAAGAACTTTATGTCTTTCTGGCATCTCTTAAAAGTATATGTTCTTCTTTCCTTGACTCTTCTGACAAAAACATATTCTAGAATTTGAGGACTATAGGTTTAAATTGGTACAATTAAAAAGAGGATGTTTAACCATAAGTTACTATCTAGTTTAATCGGCTATGACCAATGTGAATGATATTTTCCAAACAGTCTAGCCAAAGACTTCCCTATTAAATATTTTAATATAGAATTACAGATTTTATATATTTAATGTATACTATTTCAGGTTTTGAAAACTTGAACAGTAATATAATTAAAGCCAGGTATAGTCCCCAAAAGCAATGGTTCTCAACCTGTGGGTTATGACCCACAAGAACTGTATTAAAGGGTTATGGCATTCAGAAGATTAAGAACCACTGCCTTAAAGGGCAATGACCTTCCCTATTTCTAGTTTTATTCTATGTCTAGAATGTAACTTATCACCCTAAATGAGAAATGATACTGGATCTTAAAAGAAAAATGTTGTCAGAAGCTAAGAAGCAAATCCAGAAGACCAGGTATTTTTTTTCCACAATGTTATTACTAGGTTCATACACTATATTGAACAGTGGTGATCACAGTTGCTCTGTTAGTATTCCATGGATAGGTGACCTAAGTTTTCTTTAAACCATAGCATCAGCACAATTGATAATGGTGGCATTTTTTCTCATTTTGCCACAGAGGAATCTCTAAACCAGCAGGCCAAACCTTGTTCAAGAAGAGGTGATCTTAGCACTTACCAAGAGAATTGTTCTGGTTACCCAAGATAAGCAATTTTTTATTCATTTGAATAAAATAAACCAAATTATGCCTTTTAGCTAAATTAAGTTATCATTAGGCCAACAAGATTTCTAGAAGAGTAAAGAAATCATAAGGTACACTGAAGAAACCCTGGAATAGGATCAGGTGTCCAAGCTGAGTCTTAGCACTGGTTTGCCAGCAATGTGACTTTTGACACATTATCACTCCAGTTTCAGCTTTGCAAAGATGTGATGTCCCTATCTTTATATCTCTGGGTTAACCTCAGTCTGAAGGGAATAATAATATGAAAGTCACTTAGGTAAATGACAAAAGAGAGTTGTTACTCTTACTACCACAAATCATTATTAAACAATCTGATTCCTTGGTAGCATTTAATAAGGAACGTCCAAAATATATTTTACTAAGTTTGGTTACAAAACAAAAGATTTAATCTGGTGCCATAATCTGCCAAGCCACAAAAATCTTATTCTTCACAAAACTCCTCTTAATTATCTGCTGATAACCATGTCTCCATTTTTACCTTTGCATAAATTTAAGGCCAGAAACTACCACATAAATAAATGTAATCTCCAGGTGCTATGGAGAACATAACATGTTTCACCTGTAGTCTGCCTCCGATCATCTAACGAGAAGAATAAAACATGTATTTACACACTTACACAACAGACACATCTATAACAATTACGTAGAAAGAATAAATGCCAAATTAGAGAGAAAAAAAACACCTAGCTATGACCATCCAGATGAGGATGGAGGGTCTTCCATTCGAGGGTATCAATTGTGCCATGACAGATGGCTAAGACTTGGACATGAGACTGACAAGTGACTAAACTGAACCGCCAGAGCATTTTCACACATCAGAAAAATTGCTGACATTTTATGCTTGGTAAGTTTTCTAGAAATACTTGAGAAATAAATGTAAAGACCATATTATGATATAGTTCATTAGAACTCAGTAAAACTGAAAGCCCCCTATTCCATTCTGACTTTGAATATCAAACTCTACCATACGGGTTTCTTCTTCAGCAAGTTAGACCTGACGGTCACCACTCAGACGCAGGAGGACCTCGCCCCATTGCCGACACTGCTTCTCCTATCTTTACCCCTTCTCTCCAGCAAGCTCTCCTCTGTCTCCTTGTAACAAACAATAAAAAACACTTCATACATATGTTTCTAACAACCGCCCTAAAGAGTCCGGAAAGGCCTGTGAACTCTGAACAGTGCTGCCTTCCTCCTTACTTGTTCCTCAACTCCTTCTAATCTGGATTCTCACATACACACCACTGTTACCATCACAACTGAACAGTGCCCACTATACTACTGAATAATCCAGAAAGCCCACAGCAGAGTGTTCCCTTACCTGGGAATCTGGGGGCAACTCTCTCTCTCTCCAGCCGCTCTGACTCACTCCCCCTCAGCTTCCTCTGAATGTCCCTCTACTGCCCAACATTAAATACCAAAGCTCCTCTTAAGGCTACCCTGTTCATCTTTTTCAGATTACTAAGAACTCTCTCTTGAGAATCTCATCTACACCATATTGTCGATTATCTTTTACATCACAATGACTTCTAATTTTGTGCCCCCATTCCTGAACCCAGAGAGAAAACTGTCTAACCTCCATGGGAATGTCTCACATATATCCCCAAATCAGTCTGATGATTGTATGTGCCCACTCCTTTTTCTAACAGTGTTCCACACCTCAGCGAGGGCGCCATTATACACATAGCTGCAGCAGATGAAATAGTTATAATAGAATCAGATATAATCAGTTACCAAATATAGAAAGGTGGTTTTTCTTTTTTCTCTCTTATGGGTAGTTTTTTGAGTTCTGGTTTTTCTTGGGGGTGGGGTGGACTTGGCATTGTTGTGTTGTGGAGGTTTTACTGAACAGTTCCTCAAAAAAAGTTTTTGAAATATATAGTACTCTTGAGGGTAATTTATTTAATTTCTGACACTACTTTTAAAATAACATTTTATTTTTGTTTATTATTTTCATAAAAGCTGGAAAGTGTTGCAACTGAGAAGCTAAGCACCACATTTATTTTAGTGGCAGTAAACACAGCCTAAGGTCCTACTGGTAATTATGACAGGAGAAAGACTCGTTTTGGCTTCATATGGTTTCGAGTTATAAAAACACATCTGCACTCTACCTTTCCTAGAATATGTTGATTAGGGGGAAATGAAGAGAAACGCAACAGGAATAAAACAGGAGTGGTAAGTAACAGCACGCTTTAAGAAAAGAGGCTTTGGGACTCCAAGTGTTTTAGATCTCCCCTCCCTGTACCCTCCTTTTTCCTGGGCAGTCTGATTAAACAGGACCCTGAGAAATAAGCCACACTGAAAGACGGAGCTAGGGATCCCGGGAGAAGCCCGGGAATGGCTACACGCCCTAAACCCCCTCAGAGACCAAAACGCTCCTGTGTCCTGAGGCCCTTCGCTCACCAGCGACAATCAGTAAGTACTGGAGCCCTCCAGGCTTCTCTAGACTAGGGGACAAAATGAAAAGACACCCAAGCATTAAATCTTGTGTACAAGTGGGTTTAAGAGAAGAGGCTACAAGACCCACAGGAGGTTCTGCTGCCCAGACCTGAGAAGGCTTCTGGATCTGGTAGCCAAATGAACTGAAGAAAAACTTAGAGCTGTTAGCTGAGTGACAAACACCGGGAAAGGAAGTGGGAATAGCATGTGCTAAAGCCAAAAGGCTTACTATCATGTTTTCTCGGTCCAGTACACTATTTTCTTAAAAAAGTGAATTACATATCCACTACTTCAAAATCTCTATATTTCACATAAAAATCAGGATTTCTACCTGAGATAGATGTATCTGCTCCCACCCATGGGCAGGGTTTATGTGCTCTTGTGAGCCCTGGAGTCCTACTCAGTCGCTTCACGCTTATACCTCACTCGTCTGTCTCTGTAGTTATAGGAGTTCCCCAACCGTGGCCTAAAGACAGGACAAAGTCCAGCACCACCTGATTCAGGATCAGTTCCTAATTCAGCCCTTAACACCAAGAAGAAAGGAGAGCCCAAGACACAAAGCAAACTGCTTTTGTCAGCATAATCCCAAGCATAGCTCTTAAACAAAAAACGTCTAATCTTGGTAGAACTGGGAAAATATCCAATACTTCATATTATTATTTTTTTTTTATATTTGATTACAATGAGGAGAAAATCGTGTTTTTCAGAACTCGCAAACCAATTTTCATCTACATTTCAGAGAGAGAAAATTCTTCCAGCA